AATATGAAGTCTTTCTAATCTAAAGTGGAGTCAGTGAGACTTTATTTTCTAGGCCTAGAAAACTTACAATTGATATAAGCAGTCATTTCCAGGGAATCAAACAGGTTTTAGGTATCTAAGGAATATATTTTTATAGCTTTGTTTCAGATCATTCAAATATTAGCATTCCTTCTTAAATACATTAGGTTAAAGTGGGAGAGACAATTGTACATTAAAGGAAGAATTAGAAGCAGAAATTGGAATTCCCATTTTCTAGCTTTTCACACCCTAGAAATGTAAAAATTATATAAGCATGGTGATTCGGTAATTAACATAAGGAACTTTTTTATTAACTTCTCTTCAATTTTATTTAGTTACCTTATTGAAAATTCTATTATTCTACTCCATTTCTCTGAGTAGAAATGGCATTTTCATTTTCATCCTGCAATATCACTGCTTTTCAGTACATATTAAGATGCAATGTGATTGTAGAGCAAATAAGAACTATCATACATGTTTATTGATAAAATGATCTTTTTATATAGGTTCAAGCTAAATGTTACCAGCTTCTCCTCTCAGTCTTCCAACATTCCAATCGCGCCCTTTCAACTCCTTATATCCATTCATTAGCTCCAATAGTGGTTGAAAAGCTAAAAGCTGTTGAAAGAAACAGACCAGCCAATAACACAGAACTTTTAGCTGTTCAAGAAGGAATCAAAGTTCTTGAAACATTGGTTGCTCTTGGTGAAGAACAAAACAGTAAGTATGTTCCTATAAAAGCCACTGTTCTAAAGTAAAGATCTATATTATATCTAAATCTTATTTGATATTAGACACAGACCTTTGCAACAATAAGTTTACTAAGGAGCAGTTACTATCTAAAAGCATAATGTATTTGATCATGTTACTAACATAATTTTTTTTTTTTTTTTTGAGACAGGGTCTCACTTTGTTGCCGAGGCTAGAGTGCAGTGGGTTCATCCTAGCTTGTTGCAACCTCAAACTCCTGGGCTCAAGTGATCCTCCCACCTCAGCCTCCTGAGAAACTGGGACTATAGGCGCATACCAAGCACGCCTGGCTAATTTTTCTGTTTTTTTGTAGAGACAAAGTCTTGCTCTTACTCAGGCTGGTGTCAAACTCCTGACCTCTAGCGATCCTTCCGCCTCGGCTTCCCAAAGTGCTGGCATTACAGGTGTGAGCCACCATGCCAGGCCAACATAATGTCTTGAGTTGATTTATATTTATTTTTTATGAACAGGAAGTTAAAATGAATTTCTGGTGGCATTTAAACACACTGATTTTTTTTTTAAATTTTTTAGTTACATACATATTCTTTAGGAACTAGGAAAAATATAGATGTTTAATAGGTTTTTAAAATAACACATCTTAGTCTCCATAATAGAGGTATAAAAGCTTTATAACAGGCTGGGTGTGGCAGCAATCATGAGCAACATAGCAAGACCTTGTCTCTACAAAAAATAAAAAAAAAATTAGCCAGGCGTGGTGGTGGGCACCTGTAGTCCCAGCCACTTGGGAGGCTGAGGCAGGAGGATCACTTGAGCCCAGGAGTTTGAGGTTGCAATGAGCTACAATTGTGCCGCTGTACTCCAGCCTAGGCAACAGAATGAGACCCTGTCTCTTAAAAAAAAAAAAAAAATGATTTTTAATTGTTGTAGAAAGACTATATTTTTAAAACTCTTATGGTTGAACGTTAAACTTTTTCAAGATCATAAATGAGATAAACATTCTTGTACAGATTATCTTTGCATGTATTTTTTATTATTTCTATCAGATAAATTCCTAAAAGTGAAAATAGTGGGGTAAAGGGAATACACATTTTAAGACTTTTAATATGTATTACCAGATTACTCTCCATATAAAAATAACACCGATTTTTTTCTATCATAAATTTTTTCCTTTTCTCTTAAAAAATATTTCATGGGAAATTGGGGAAAGGTGGTAGAGATTTTTGAAAAGCTATTGCAAAAGCTCCCCTATGAAATAATAATCCAGAACTGTGATAGTAGAAGGGAAAAATGCAGCAGTGGTGAATTTGAAAGAAAAACTGATCTGATTTGATGATTAACTGGTTATAGGGAGCAAGAGAAAGAGAAGAGGCAAATATTACTGTGTTGTGTGTAAGCAATATCAAAATTGGGAAAGTCAGAAAGAAAGAGCTGTTTCGGAGAAGAAAAATTTAGTTGAAATTGGAATATGTTAATATATAGGTTATTTGGGTAGAAATTTTGTGATTGACATCATGGCCTATAACAAATCAACATAATTTTATTTGTATATTTATTTTACTAACTCTAAACTCCATAAAGACCAGGACTGAATTTTACTTTGTAATCCCAGCACTGAACTTACTGTCTTTTATTATTTAAAATATTTTTGTGTTCAGTTGATTCTTCAGATGGATTCCTGAACAGGTACCACAATTTGGAATTAAACTTAGCGTAAGAACAGGTAGGGAAAGGAATCTTATACTTTAAAAAAGTAATACTTCTGTATTGTTTGATTTTTTTTGACAGTAAGAATATATGTATTATTTGTACAATTAAATATAGTTTAATAGCTAATTAGTCTTCAGCAATGTCCCTGAAATAAATGACCTTTTCCCAATTTAAAGTATGAAATGACCAAAGCACTGTAATTTCAACTTTCAACCAGACCAAGTTGCAGTATTATTAGTGAGGTGTATCAACAATAAGCATCATCATGTTTTCTTCTTTTCTTAATGGATTGCTTCGCTCAGATAACATATGTTTTATACTAGAGCAAGACTTTTAAGAGGTAGAATAAGCAGTTGGCCTATTTTGAAAATTAGAACTAAATCTAAGGCTAAATGCCATGCAAAAACCAAAGTTAAACAGTCCTATTAATGAAATAAGATAGCATTCATTAGGAGAATACCATCAAATAAGTGAATGAATATATATCATATTAATTTGATAGCAACATTTTTATGCTTGCTTTATATTTTATGTTGTTACATGATTCCAAAAGGGTAAATTTTCAGCTTTTGAATTTGTTTTCATCATTCAACTTTTTTCATCTCATTTGCAAATGTTAGTTTTGTTTTCAGCTTTACAGTATCCATTATAAGCAATGGACAGTGGATATTTTCTCACCCTAAATGACCAAGGTTACAATCTAAAAACATTAGAATTATATCTGACTACTTGTTCATCATTCTTTATTCAATCTATTACTCAAATTTTGTTCTATCTCTCTTTTTTTAATTATTTTATTTTTTGTAGAGACAGAGTCTCGCTATGTTGCCAAGGCTGGTCTCAAACTCCTGGCTTCAAGCGATCTTCTTGCCTCAGCCTCCCAAAGTGCTGGGATTACAGGTGTGACTGAGCCACTGCACCTGGCCGCTTTTTGAAACTTCTCTCAGATTCAAGAGAAACTTGCTTCCTATTTTTATATCTAATCACCTCATAAATAGATAACTGTAATAGTTTCCTAGTTGATATTCTTTATCAAATATAGCTAAACCAATTTTATCTCCCCCTTGCTTAAGAATTTTGAAGAGTTTCCTCTTGCTTTACAGCATCAAATCTGAAGATCTTTGTGTGGTTTTCAAAACGTTTATTCTGTTCCCCAATCTAATACTAACCTGACCTGACCAGTTTCCTTACTCTGCTCATTTAATTGCCCTTCATTGTTCACAGTATACATTGTTCACACTATTTTCACTTTCCTCAGATGTTTTTCTTTTCTTATACAAATTTATTAAAACTACATCAGATTTCATTTCTTTAAGAAATGTTGCCCAATTTCTCAGCCCTCTCTGATCTTACCCTTCATAGAATTTTTATGGTAATTATAACTAACCGTATTTTATGGCCTTGTGATTTAAAAATAATTACTAAAACTATAAAATCCCAAAGTATTCCTCACCTTTTTGAGTCTCTTGATGAACTCTGTACTCAAATGCAAACTAGGGTTTTAGCAATTAGTTTTCTAACTGTTCTATGTGATGTCTACTCTTTTCTACTAAGTAATAAAAGCATTAGGTAGAAACAAATTATATAACATTTCCTTCAATGCTTAGCACATTTCTAGATACTTGGTGAATAGTTAACATGTTAGCTGCCATGTAGGTTGTACTTAACTCACACTAGTTTTGAGCCCAGGACCTCGTGAAGCAAAACCCTGCAGTTGGTTCGTGAAAATCTTGCTTGTTTATATTCTTTTTGTTACAATTAATATGAACAATTTAATTTTTAAAACATGGATTGCATTGCATATAACTCA